TGATTTTGATTTTTATCATTACCCAATAATTTGAACATATTTTTATATAATAAAACTTTTATAGAAATAATAAAAATTATATCAAAATTCAAAATTTTTTTTATCTATAATTAGAGACCACTCTCATTTCATTTGAATATAAATTTGTCCACAAATATAATTTCGTGTTTTGAAAGCATGTATCAAATTTTAGTTAAATATTATATTAGTGTTAAAAACGTATTATTTCCAATATCAAGTATATGTACCACTAATAATAAGGTTAACTAGATTTGACCCGCGCTGTTAAAGCGCAAGATTTTTTTTTGTTATAATCTAATATAAAATACAAAAGATAATATGCATTTTTATTATAAAAACATTTTCATTACTATTATGCAATTCTGATATAGATTATCAATTTCAAAATTAAAATGAGATTCTACTACTATGTATCTAAACTGAGTATTTTTGGAAATGGATTATCGTAGCTTTGTAAACAGCAAACCTATTTTGTTTACACATTTCAATTTAAAAATGAAAAGATTTTAAGCTGTATTTTTAATTACAAATTTATTTATGGTTGAAAATTTACAGTAAAACTATAAATATTTTCTAATTTTAATTTTTGTATACAATTTTTGTTCAAATTCAAATTCATATTCATAATATGTGATCTTTAAGAAAATTTTAGTATGTGATATATTCAATTTTTTCCAATTTAAAGTTAGATGATAAATTATTTATTAGAAGCTTTATTTTCTGTTTTATTAGAATTATAAAAAAAATTGATTTTGTTTAAGAAATAAAAAGTGAAACTTATTTTGGAATGTGTAAAATAAAATTTATTAATATAATATATAGTATATTATGTAATTTCAAAGCTCATATTAGAAAAATTAATTTGTGTATATGTTGTTCTTTTGTTTGAATTTAATTAATTGAGTTTGCACAGTTAACTATTATAATTAAGTTTTGTTATAATTATAAACAAAACTCAACTATCTATAATAATATTTTTTTTGTTTTTAAAGTAAAAAGTAAGTCCAAGTAGAAAAAACATTTTTCATACGTATCACATGTATAAACTGCAAAAGAGACTATTTAATTCAAATCATAGATAAGATTGTATTAGGTAATTTAAAATGTGGCAAAAAAGTAACTTAAAATGTATAATATATTGATATTGGGTTTTTTTACTCCATATTGTTTGTTCAAATCTTCTAAAGATCTCTTCAGAATATTGTAGATAATTAAAATATTTAATATTTAATGTAATTCAGTGATATCCCATCCCCTATACATTATTTGTGAAGTGATTTTGCCACATGTCCTCTCTATAATCAGTTTCACAAAAAAATGGTGACATATCTACTAGAATTGATGACATGACATATAATTAAATACTAGGATAAGACCCGCGCCTTGCGCGGGATGAAGCGATCTGCTCTTCTTCTTCCTCCACTGGAACTATTACTGAAGAAGGAAGGCTTGATGCTAGTCGTATTACATCTCCAGCAACTAAAGAAAGAGCTAGAACTGCAACTGCACCTATAGAATCAACTTCAGATGGAAAGGTTTGAAAGGAATTTTTTTTCGTTTGATGGTAGAAAACCTTGTTTTTTTAAGGTGATCTGTTTATTCATATTTTTTTTTTCATTAAAATTGAAAAGAAGTAATTTATTCGAACCCAGATGAAGTTCTGACCATCTGTCAGAGAAAAAAGAACGAATGGCTCTTGTAAGATTCCAAAAAAATTCTTCGCTTTCTTCCGGAAGCAGATGATTATTCATTCGCTTTTCACGTTCCGTGAATAGCCGGGGCATTGAGGAATATCCAGAAAGGGATTT